CAGCTCCCCAGCCGCCCAGCCCAGCCCTGCCACGACGCTGGCACTGAAATCTCTGCAGGGATTTGCCCATCTAGGAGAGGTGATGGAGCCAGAGGCAAGGCAAAGCTGGGCTCTGCGCGCATTTTAATGGGAGCATTTTGAGCTGTGCTTTGCTTTCCACTTGCAGGCAGGTGTGCTCAGGTCAGGAGGTGCTGCTGACCTCCCCAGGGTATTAACAAGGGGAATATATAACAACCCCCTTGTTCCAGCCCTGAGACTCGGTATTCAAAGGATGAGGCTCAGGCTGGTCCAGCTGTCCCCACAAGACTGGGGATAATCCAAAGGGAGAATGAAGTGAGCAAGAAGGACGCAGAGGGAGAGAGGCTGAGGCTAAACCTTCCCCCTCCCGAGGGGTCAGAGAAGGACATCCCTGTCTCACTTCTCCCATCCGCCACAATTAGTCTGGAAGCGTAATTAGAAAATGCTTCTTGCAGCCCTGTGCTTAGAAGCAGCCTGATCTTTCAGCCTCTTCTCCCCTCATGAACTCTGGGGTAAAGGGCTTATTACCCCTACAAACCAGTTGCTGTTTCATGGTGAATTTGCCTCCCTGCAGACACCGGACCCCTGGCCAAAACTGCTTTAATTATACTGCACTGGCCAGACCCTGCATCTCCCCCTGATGCTGCAAGGCTGCAGCATCTCCCTGACATCTCCTTTCAGTGATTAAAGAAGAAATGGGACCACAACAATTACTGTACAGGCCTGAGCATTTGATATATGTTTATTGCTATTCAGGTTTAGCTGGGAATTTTGTGCATATCGGGTTTAGGTGGTTATCCAGACTCCTTGCACAGTGCTGCAGAGGTCCAGAGCGTCTCGTTTGCGCGTCCGTGGTAAGCAGAAGGTGGCTGGGTTCGGTCGGTAGCAGCTGCAAAGAAGAGCCAATGCACCAGCTGAAGTTAACATCACACTCAGTGGGAGCGAGGGAGTTTAAGACTTCATTGCTCAGTTGGTTGTTTTGACCATCTTCTCTCATCAGCAGGGTGTGAAGTGCAGACTCTGACCCAGGGAGTATTCCTTATCGTTATTTACAAATAAAGCCATCGTTCTCACTTGTCTCCCGCTACTTTGATATGAGACATTTACAGACAACCATCACCGTGACAGACAACAGCATGGGACAGTAAGAGGGAATGATGTTCCACTATACTCACTTTCTTTTTACTTTCCATTAGCAATATTTTTGAAGTCTCACAGCTACCTTAGTACCATTCGGAATGAGTAAATAATATATTTGGATAGAATATACTCCAATATGCAAATGTACACGAGACCCCTGGAAAAGCTCACATCAAATACTGTATCATTAGAAATAATAATAATAAAAGCTATTTATGACACAGCCTTTATTCACAGAAACATTTGCCCCGGGGCTTTGTTTTTGCAGTTTGGCTTGATGACAGATTCCCCTCCTCCTCTGCCCTGTAGTCCATGTCAGCCCAGAGAATAAAAAGAATAAAATAAAGAGAGAATACCCCGCCCCGGGGCAGAAGCTCCCCCAGCTCAGCCCCACGGGAGCCACCACCGCAACGACGCTGCAGGAAAAGGCGAAGCGATACAGCAAGGGGAAACATCACTGTAGCGTTGAGCATGGCCGGGGCCCGTGAGAGCCCCTCGCTGCTACGTGCGACGGGCTGTTTTATCAGTCTGAGCTGCGCCGGCTCGCCCAGAGCGAGGGGGAAGCGGGCACGCCGGCCCACGCTAAGGCACTGCAGTCGCACACCCTCGCCCATGCTCCAGACGCAGCCCCGCAGGCAGCTGCACCCTACCTTCAACATTTTAGCAGGACATCAAGCGAGAATTTTACAAAACCCAGGACGCGGACCGGTTCCCCTCTGCCTGGGTACCCTGGCGAGGATGGGGATTGCCGGGCAATGGGATGGCCCATGGGCGTCAGAGCGCAGGGGGCAACGAACACGCTTTGCGACCAGCTGCCGCTTCCTCAGAGTCCTTTGGTATCTTGAGTTGGCCTGACAGCGTCCCAGGAGCATTTGTGGATCAGCGAAGAAGCGCCCAGCTGGGGAGACACGGGAGCAGGGGGGAACGCACGTCCCGTAGTCCCAGAGCGTGTACGTGCCAGTCCCAGAGCGTGCATGTGTCAATCCCAGAGCGCATACGTGCACCACTCTGCTGGGACCAGATGGATGTGCAGCCTGGAGCCCCCTCCCCAGGCGGGTACAAGAGAGACGAACTGTCCTGCACTCCCCGGCATGAATGATTTGGCAAAGTTGGAGCCAGAACAACTTGTCTTGAAAGGCTGGAGGAGAAGGGTCAGGTATTTTTCCTTCTTCTTGGGCACTGATTGGTTCAAGTTCGTATCACAGTGAAGTCTGAGAAGTGGGGAAGAAACCCAAACCACCTACCCTGAAAGAGAAAGCCTCGTTTGCCCACCTTGCTCAGGCTGGAGAGGACAGCCTCTCCTAGCCAGGAACATCCGATCCGCTGCTGATCACGGAGACTCCCATCACTCGGTAGCAGACTTTGGACCTCGGCGCTCCAGCCGGCAGTCATGCTGGAGGAAAGCAGGTGGACAAACCAGCTCCGTCCCACCGCCCACCCAGGCTGACCCCCAGAGCCCATCCTCAAACAGAAGTAAACTTAAAGAGAAACTAAGAGGCACTAATAATGCAGATACGGGGAGACTCAGGCTTGCAACCATCAAACCTGGCTCCGGATGTCTTCGTCCAGCTGGAGGAAAGCCGAGTCCCCATTTCAGATCTCCTGCAGCGAGTGGCCGGGGTCGCTGCGTTCCCGTTTCACCAGCGGCTCCCCCATGCTCCGGGAGTCCATGTCCACCTCGCTGCCCAGGTCACTAATGTCATCTGCAAAGGACAGGTCTCAGCATGAGAGTGGCGACCGGAGGGGAAGAGGTCCTTTCTCCCAACAGAGCAGGGTGGAAGAGCCAGCACGAGGTTCCCCCCTCCCACTGCGATTCAACCCTGACCCAGCAGGACTTCTCTTGAAGGAGAGGAGGTACCTTTGTCCAGCAGTGTTGGGGACAGGGACGTGAGGTCACCAAACTGAAAGAAAAAGGAGTTACAAGGTAAGTGAGGCTTACGGAGACCCGAGGCGCCAGACCTGCAAGCTGGCATCTATTTCCAAGCAATTCTAACAAGCAGCTTAAGTGCTCAGAAGAAACCACAAGCACCAGCAGTGCTGGTGGTGAAGAGCAGAAAGCAAAACCAACCACATGTTTTGGGAAAAAGTGTCCTGCTACCATTTAAACCCCTAGGCAAACAACACACATAACAGTCCAGGGCAGGATCAAGCTCTGGAATGAATGGAGAAATTTTTCTGCCTCCCAGGGCACAGCCAAATGCTGTCAGACCAAAGGACAGTGCCTTTTCTCCAGCCTTCTGTATTTGCTGGGCAGCTGCTCAGACATGCCAGCTATTCACCTCTCCTGGGACTCTACCATCACTCCACCTCTCTGCAACTCTCTGCAAAGCCTCTGCATTCATGTCAGGAAGGTGCTTTGGCTTGCAAGGCCACGGTGCCAAGTGTAAGCAGAGAGCTGGTGATATATTGGGTTCTGGAGATGTATTGTCTCCCTCTGTGAGGAGGTCTGAAACACTAAATTACTGTAACAATAATGGTGAAAAGTCATGCAAAGTTGGGCAGCAGAAGGACCTGAGGAGAGAGGGAGTTATAAAGCGAGCAATAGAAATGGAAGGACATGATTTATCCTCTTTTGCTGGGAAGAACCAGCCTCCTCCTGGAGAACAGAAATATTGCAAGAGTTTAATATTAATAAAGGCAAAACCTGAAGGATGAAAGCCTCCCACAGCTAGGTTTTGCTGGCAGCCACCTTCTGCCTTTCATATTCCTTTAATACCGATAAAGACAGAGGTTTTGCAAGGAATGGTGTGAACTCGCAGCATTGCTGACTTGGAGCAACAGCATGGGTCTGACGGGAGGGAAGGGAAAGCAAAAGGCATGCAATGGATTTGTTTGGCTCCCCTACGTGAGCTCCATGGAAGGAAGAAAACAGCATGAGCTTCAAGGAGCAAATGAGATCAGTTTTAATCTAAATAGTTTCTGTATTGCTGCCACAGGTTGATCGGGGCCTTTTAAATCTGGGCATTTCAGAGTGAAAATTTGGAAGTGGCTTCAGCAAGGCAGGACAGGCCCTGCCTGCAAGCCAGATGCCAGATTTGCTGTCTAATTTGTTAAAAAAAACCCCACAAATACCCACCCCCCCAAACACAAACAACCCATCACTTCTCCAAGTCAAAAAGAGAGAGAGTGGCTGACGGCGCATGTAACTGGAGCTTGCGGAGGCCTGAAGAAGTTCAGTGAATGGCACCACTGAAAGTTGCAGGGAAAGTAACTTCTGGACCTGTTTTTGCTTGCTTTAGTTTTTATGTTTGATGGAACAAAGCCAGGGTTGGTATCCACAGGTTATGCAGAGAAGTGGTGGGGATCCTTGTCTTCCCTCCTCCAGGCCTCTGAAGCCCAGCTGATGCTCAGCTGCCCCAAAACCCACCAGCTCAGGTATTAGTGAGCCAGGATGGAAGATGCTCAAGGAGGTGGATCCCTGTGCCAGGCACTCAAAACAACTCAGTAAATCCTTCAGCAAAGATAGTTATAAAAACATGTTCAGGACACAGTGCAGTTTGTGAACCAACCATGTCTCTTTAAGCGCTGCTTAGTTTGGGTTTGTTTCTAGGGAATAAACAATTCTCACCTCTCCCATTACGGCAATTGGTGTCTCCCCTGTTGCCTGGGCAACACGATGCTCTACCAGATAAAACATGTATTCATCGTAAAGCAGGCGAATTAGGTGGAAGGAACCAAAGCTGGCAGCACTGCGCAAAGTGAGGTCACGGATCACCATGGAGCTGGAAAATGGCCGGGAAACAAAATATTTGGGTTGTGTTTTACACTTGCATCATGGCTGATGTGAATTCTTGACCCTGAAGGTACTGTGGGACACAGGGCTCTGTTTCTACCTCTAATCCAAGAGTATCAAAACACTTTAAGAAATTAGTTGATAGGGTATTATATCCCCATCCTGAAAGGATACAGGAGACACAACATCCCCTTCTGTACCAGGGCAGAGCAACAGTTAACCAGTTGCACGGAAGTAAAGAACTTGGCCTTGGCTTTTAAAGGAGCTATTTACAGGGCCTAACCCCAGTGCAGAAATATCTCCAAAATGACAAAGAAAATATACCTATAGAAAGACCATTTCAACAGGAACTGCCTGGCTGCCTTGGGGAAGCTGGGACTGCCCTCGTGATGCTTCAAGACTTGAGTAACAACGTTATCCAGCCAACTAGCCCACTGGTCCAGAGAACTCTGCTGCTGCAGAGTGAGCTTGAAATCCTGCTCCAGCTTCTGTACCATGCCTTCCTCGCACTGGCACACCCATGAGGCTTGCTCCTGCTCGGGAAGAAGGATTGACAGTTACTCATGCCAAGCCTGCACAGTTGTTGCATCCCAACCCAGGAATTCAACTTCATTTCTAGTAGACAAGGACTAGAAACCAGCTCTGAATCATGTCTCCTCCAATCTGTCCAGACCACAATACAATATTATTATTAGAACTGTATTATTGTTGGTAGCACTACTTCTTACAGAAGTTCCTTAGTATCTTCTCTGCTATTCACAGTGAGATGGCAGACTTACCTGGAAAAGTAACACCAAACCCATTAAATTGGTCATTTAATTGCTTCATAGTATTGGAAATAAGATGCTGGCTACCAGCAGACAACCTCATTACAGAGTCCCAGTTCTAGACAACACGACCTAGGAAAAGGTACCATAAGTTACCTGCACGTTGGCAAAGTCAACCCGATTGAGATCGCTGAGCATCTGGTTTATCTGGGAAGTGTTCTGCAGCACCGCACGGGCGGCCTGAGCCAGGTGGTTCAAGGATGTGTATCTCCGCAATGTCTGCGCAAAGGCACTCACTACCCCGACCTGCAACACAGCACGCAGGGCACCGCGAGCAGGAGGCCACAGAGATGGAAGGCAAACTCTTCTCAATGCTGAGCTCAAGCATGCAGCACACACCAGCCGGGTAACCGGCACAGTTCCACCCGTGCTGCTGTCCAACGCATACACGAGTGCTCCAGAGCAGCACTTTTGCAGCATCTATTGCATCATGCAAACCAGCATCTGCCTTTCTTTTAACTAACAGGTTTTCACGCTTTGCCTCCAGCAGAGGCCAGCAAGCTGAGAACAGACTGCAAGACACATGAGGTCTCCTGTGCTTTCTAGTAGGACAGTTTCATGCCAGTGCAGAGATTTTCCTTCAGACAGCTTTATCTGCAATTTTAGGACACAGGAATGGCTCAATGGACAGAGCATCATCAGCTTCTGGTACAAAGGAGTTGCCCTGCCTGTCCTCCCACTCCTTGCTGATTTTGGTTCATAATTATTCATTGCACCGTGCTAGTCTGGAGTAGCCGTGGCCAAACCCCGGCAGTGATTTCCAATGACTGCAGAAAACTGCAACGCGTGCGCACACACACACTCGGTTCACACCCCTGACCTGCACCGCGCTCCCTCTGCTTACCTTGGTCTGGACAATCTGGGGGGGGAATTCACTCATTGCGTTCATCAGCCACCCTTCCAAACTCTTGGCAAAATTACGAATCGCCTGTGTGAGTGTGCCTGCAAAGAAGTCTGCAGAGTTAGAAAGGCTGTTCCGTATCATCTTTGGACATCCCTTTCTAGCTTAGGACCGCTGTGGAAAGCACAGCCCCTGATCTGGTTACCCAGATTTAGCATCAAGGAAATCAGCTGCATCCTGAGATGCACTGAAATTTTTTTTATTCTTATTCTCTGATGTTGTTACTCAAACTTTTCTTCTTTTTCTTATTATTCTTTTTCTTATTTTCTTGTTCTTACTTATCCTTATTCTTATTCATGGTCCTTCTGAGCATTTTCCAAACATTGACATATGCTCTTTAAAGACACACATTTTCCAGCATTCAGACTGACAACGGCAGCACAGAGAGACATGGCTTTCCTATACTGCTCAAAACAAAAGTTTACCCCAAATTTCCAGGAGGTGCAACAGGGAACAAGGATGGTCCTACATAAACAAAGAAACTATCTGAAAGGAAATATCTCACAAGGATTAGCTGTGCTTACTTGTGCACTAAGCCTATGCTTTTACCTTCACTCCTAGCCAAACTCAGGAGATGTGATATGCAATAAACCAAATTTTAAAAAATTTTTAAAAGGCATGGGAATTTCCAGGGGCCACAAAGTACCTTCAATGCAGAGCAATGCTGCAGGAGGAATACTGCTGTTGCCATAATATTTCAGCTTGTATTCAAACCAAAAACCTCTAAATCAGCTTTTACAACGGAAATCTTTGTGGCAAGTGGTAGCCAGACTGAGTGAGTCATGGGTCGCTGTTTGTCAGGCACAACATCCCATGACTCAGCCCAGCGAGGAGCAAGAGCTGAGCAGGAGTCGGGACCACCTGTGTCCTCCTGGCCCCGTGGCTGGATACTCACTGGGCACCGGTCTGAGCACGTCTGGGATGAGAATCTCCACCAGGGCCTGGTACAAGATGTGGTCACAGCTCCTCATCCATTTGAGGATGGGTTCGTACTTGCACAGAGTGATCAGCTTATCTTTCGGGAGGGTCCCTTCGTGTTCTTCTTCACTGCGGGAGGAGGAGGAGGCAGGCAGCATGAGCAGCAGGTTTGCGTTCAGTGCATTCACCCTCCCCCTAAATTTCCAACCCCAGTTTTCAGCAGAAAAAAGCAATTCATGTTTCTTTCAAAAGGAAATATCTGATCATTTGTACAAGTCTTGTCTAACTCTGCAAGCTCCTCTCTGTCCATGGGTCACACAGCTCTGACCACAGTTTTCGCTCAAATCTGCATCTCCTGTGCTTGGTCTTCACTTCTTGTCTTGAGCCCCGGTTGCCTTTCACTCACTCATGTTCACGTGCACCTGGGAACTGTACTTCAGTACAGTCATTTCAGCAAGCAAAGGCTTAGCTAGTTCCTCCTTACAGACCCAGCTATTTCCAAAACCTTCACGCCTCTCCCCTGTGCTCTAAACCTCCTCAGCTGCAGCAGTGGGGCAAACGTTTGCAGCGAATGTTGTCTGAGCAGATTAGCTGGTATTGAGGGATCCTGCAAATGGCTTTGAGCTGTTTAACGCCTTCAAATGCTGAACCTTTTCAGAAGGAGAAAGATCTGGTGTTTTGATGAGAACAGAGCATATTGTCTCTAACTGAATGAGGTCAATCAAGCTTGCAGTATTTCCACTTTACAGATGTGTGGAAACTTTTTCTGCATGATTTGGTTAAACAGCAAGCAGAGAAAACCAAAGCCTTAACGCACGGCCAGGGCAGCAAAGCAGAGCTGCTCAGACACTACGCTGGGAACTGGGAATCTGGAAGGGACTTTCCCCAAGAGTTACATCAAAATCATTAAAGCCAAGCCTTGGACATACTATAAAGATGTACTTACAGCCTCTGCCTCAGCAGTTTTAGTAAATGAACTCCACGGGCATACACTCCTAGAACACTCACATGGAGGAACTGGCCATCAAGTTCCTAAACTTTCTGTTAAGTGGAACCATATTCTGCATTTTTATCATGCTTTCAAACAGTTTGCCACTTGGCAAAACACTTTTTGTTTTATATTTGTATGTATATAAAGCAGGGGGAGGGAGTGCTTTATTTACCTGTTAGCAGTGATTATTGATTATTATAGATCGGTGATTATATTAGTGGTTATAGAATAGTGATTATTATAGATTATTAGCAGTGGTATGGAGAGATACTAAAGCACACAGCCTTAGCAAGATAGGCTAGTTTAGACAGAGCCCTGCAGAAATGCTACCTCCAGTATCCAAGTGAGCCTATTTGTACCTAGCACAGCTCTCTGTGGTGTTGCAATATGCCCTGGAGATACACACTTAAGTAAAAGAGATTTTGAAACAACCAAACACAGCTACAGAGATTCTTTGTGGGAAAATATCCATTGGGTAAGATCTACTGAGAACAACAGGGCCATATATTCTACAGATTATTATGGGGTCTTTACTTATTACTCAAACTTTTACCATTTTTCTTCTGAATAGAAAATGTCTGTATTGGAAGTCCTTATATTATCAGTAGGAGTGGACAATACAGATTTTTAATACAAATTTTAAGAAGAAACTTACACCTTTTCAATTTTCTCTATTTTCACTTCTTTCCATTCCCCTGTCTCTTGGCAGCAGACTACCAATGCATAAAGGATGAAGAAAAGGCAGTGACAACGAGCCAGGCAGGAGTACAAAGATCAGAGTAGCTTCATTTCCCATTATCTGCCTCAAAACACAAGGCACTTAAAGATCTGGAGAGCCAACCAAAGAAGTGAGTCAGTCTAGACGTCACTAAAACCTCCCAGTCTGAGATGTCACTCGAGACCAAGACCTAATGGCACAGAACCGTTGCTGTCTGCTCCTGACGACCATTTATGAAAGCAGCATCTTGTTCTCATTCATCTCTGCATTTTGGATTAACACTTGCTACAGGAGGTATAAGGCACATAGATGTACATAATCAGAGCGGATGCTTTCCTCGGAGGTCTGAACTTTGTGGGGTCATTACCATATTAAACACTTCTGACGCTTTTTGTAATGATTCTGCAGGGAAGTAAATACTTGCAAGTCCTACAAAGCACTCAAAATGCCTAATGAAGCTGAAAATACTTCATGCATGTTTAAAAGATAAAAATACCACCAAAAAATGGAGCATTCAGAAATAATCAAAGCGCAGCAGTGTACCTGGACGGCAGGGCAGTAGAGCCATCACTAGATGGTGTTTTAGGACTCCAGAAGGATTGCCACAGTTTCTCAATATAATGAAATTGAAGATTCATTACAACGTCCAAAGTCGCCTAACAACAAAGAACACAACTCATTAGCTGCTCTGCTAGCATCTTGTCACACAGTGTAAGCACAAATTTCATGTTCTGCCATATAGTTTAAATTTACAAGAAAAATAACGGAAAGGGCATTGTTTTAATAATCAACATAACATAAAGCAGGTCACACAATGAAAAAATACATAAAATGCAATACTTGAATTGTAATACCTAGCAAATCAGGCATTCCCTATTATATTGTAGCTTCTCTAAGAGCAGGATATGAGATGAGCACGTTAATTATGGCTCACATCAATTAATAAATCAATTAAAAATACTCCAAATAATCACCTCGCAGTGTCGCCTGTAAAGAAGCTGCAGAGTTTTCACATCATTCATGGTCACCCCTTCTTGTAAGAGGATATTACCTAGATCAGGGGCTGGGAACTCGGGAAAGACGTGGGTTACATCTAGGGAAAAAAAAAAGATTGGGAATGATGGTGAGAGTTGGAAGCAGTCAGTTAGGCAGGACTACAGATGAGTACAAGGTGCTGCTGTTGCTGGTGGTTATCTTTCACGTTTCAATTGGGATGAAATAGGAGAAATGAGACTGCTAATCTAGTACTTTCCCTGATTCATGCTGTTATACTGGGCAAAAAGCGAACAACCGCAGCCCATTTATTCAGTGTGGAAAGGAAAATGTTTTCTTTCTCTCTGTAATAAAAGAAACAAGAATACATTGTCCTCATCTACCACGCTTCCCATTAAATTTTCTCGGAAGCCTGAAAAACGTCTCTCTGGTATTTTGAGAGTACAATGGAAAATATAATTGGGCAGCAGACATATCAGGAGCAATTATATTTCAGAGAAGGCTCAGAGCTGGCCGGGATTTGGTATCTCTACTTGAATGCTGGAGACACATAGATCCATGACCAGCAAAGCCAGAGCGCTTGTCCCACAAGAAGGTCTGTACGCATCGTCTGCAGCCAGATACATATTACAGCCTTTGCAATGAAGACAGTTGCTCTTCTCCCTCCAGCTGCCTGTCTTGCAAAGCTCTTCTGGACCTCCATTCCTTCCACCCAATTTGGATAAAAACAAACGGATTAAAAACACACTAAGAAGGAATGAACAGACCTGACAGTGCAAGGAAAAAGCCTTCCTGTGGGTATAGGAGTTAGCAAATACACTTAGCAAATGTGACATTATAAGGGCTTATTGGGATATATACCAAATACAAAATATATATATTATATATGTATAATATATAATACTGTAGATTTATTAGAAAAGCAAACAAATGCAGAACAGCTGGGGCTTGCTGGACAAGACCTTCCTTCCTCTTAAAGGTTTAAGCCTAGACGTGAGGTATGTAATACATTAAAGCAGTGTCCTCACCTATGAATTGCTGATGATGTTGACTTTGAGCAGCAACCGATTGCTCCGGCGTAGTGTGCGGGTTGCTATTGGACCCACTCTCCGCCATGCCGTCCATCTTCTGCGCTGGTCTATACCTAAATTTGGAACATGGCTTGGGATTTACACAGGCATGAGCAAACATGTACATGGTATTTGCAACATAGTCATGCAGATGTCTGCGTTCATCATGTAATACATGAGGTTCCACTCAAGGCCAGCATTTTGAGGGCTGACCTTTTGTATCACCTACTTAACTGGAGGGGAAAAATGCGAGCCTCCTTTTGAAAAGCACTCTCCGAGACAGAATTAAAGGGGTTAAGATGTTTGCCCAAGGTGACACAAAAAAAAAAGAAGATGAGAAGCAGAGCTGGAGTGGGTGCCAGAGAGCAGACTCGCAGTCTCGGGAGCTGACTTTTGCATTTACTTTCTGCTTGGGAGCTCAAGAAATAAAATGTTCTGCTCCTTCTTCACTCCAGCAAGAACCAGAAGTGTCTGTGCTTCCAGGAGACAATTCCAAATTCCTTTGCACATTGTTTTTTATATACAAAATTACTCAGACACAAGCCTAACCACAGCACTATCTAACTTGCACTGTTGCGCACAAAAAAAACCCAAACAAAACCCCAAACCCACCCAAACACAACACAAGGACCCTTTACACTGATTTGGCACAAATAACTCCATACGCGAGGTCCTAACACAGCTGGGTCAGAGGGAGGCAGCGAGAAGCGGCGCATACGGCGGCGTTCGCTGTGGCAGCGGGCTGAATCAAGCCGCTGGCAAACAGAATGGGCAGATAAATGCCATTTCATAGAGCCACTGAATAGTTTGGGGTGGAAGGGACCTTTACAGTCATCTAGTCCAACCCCCCCGGCAGTGAGCAGGGACATCTTCAACCAGAGCAGGTTGCTCAGAGCCCCGTCCAACCTGGCCTGGAACGTTTCCAGGGATGGGGTCATCTGCCAGAATTGGTTTTGGACCCTTCTACTACTCAGAGCAGCCAGTGACTTGCAGCCCCCTCTTCCACAGCTCAGCTCTGGCACTGCAGCAACTCTTGGGTTTGAAGCGTCCCAACACGCTCCCTTTGCTGCCAAGCCAAGACGAGTCCCAAGACGGGCCTTGCAGCTTTCTTTGGAAGAGGGCCCGTGCCCATGGCAGCAGCGGGGGCACCGCGAGCGCGCTCCGAGACGCTGAGAGCACCTACCTTTGCTTCTGGTGGATGGGCTGCTGCCTCATAGCCATGTACTGGGTGTCCTCCTGCAAGCGGTTCCGTGGAGACTCTGGTTTTAGACGGATCCCGTAATAATGATATTTGGAGTTTCCCCTGGAAGTATCAGCGTTGAGATCGCTCAGTGTAAGCTAGTCAATGGAAGGGACATCGTAGCCCTGCAATTTACTCTTAGGCTTGTTTGGACAATACACCCTACTTCTTACAGCACACGTCGGTTTGCTGCCAAGCGCTGTTTGAATGGCTGAACTAACGAATGCCATCATCCCCTATAAAACTTAAAACCACATGTCGCAAAGTTCAGTGACATCCACATTTAAAACCTGGAAAGGTTTGTTCCAAGTAACCCATGGTAACTGGAGAAGAAGAAACAAGTGTTACAATAGAAAGTGTTATTAAAGAGAATGACAGAAAGACCTCAGGGGACGCTTTGCTATTTGATTAGTGTTTAAGGATTTTTTTTTTCCATAAAAACAAACTTCCATGTTTATCTAGACTTGGATAAAACAAGCCTGACTGAATAGTCAACTATCCTAAGAAAAATGTCTTTCTGTTGCCAGCACTTTCACAGCATCGGCAACAGGCTTTGACGCGGCTTTCCTCTTGGAGTTGCTCATTTTTGTAGTTTTTGTAAGAAGTGAAAGCTTTTTGCAAGCAAGAGAGGCTGTAATTCTTTTTCCTTTGCTAGTCAGTAAAGCTGCTGTGATGCTCCTTAGGAGAATGTCTTTCCATCACGTTAGACATATGTGTCAGTTAAAGTTTTTCCACCAAACTAGAATTTTTCCATCCCCAAGTGTCTGCTTTTGGGAGCGAGAAGGACAATTACGCAGCCTTGGATACATGATGACAGTATGTCCGACTTGGCTTTAGACAATTTGACGCTAACAATGGTTGAGCTGAGTCCTCCGTGGCAGGAGGAGACCGAGCCAGGGGAGCAAGGGCAAGGTCTCCAGAGCCCTCGTACTGGGAATGCTTAAAATTCGTTTGCTGCGTCAGTGTGACAGGGTCTGGAGGCATCTGAAATCCAATGATGCTTCTCATTGGAAAACTACATAAAGAAATTTAAGAGAGGAATATTTGTCAAAGAATTAACCCTTTCTTCCTTGTGGGGGAATTTTCTCTTTTCAAGGGGATGGTTGATCATTCGGTCTTTGTCACTGTACCAAAGGGCTTTACACACGCTGAGTGCTCAGGTATGAAGTACCCTTTGGCCATGTCTTAAGTGATTTTAAGAGCCTGCAGATTAAATAACAGCTGCATTTATAATCTAGATGAATGAATAAGAAAATAACGGTGGATATCTATTTCCATATTTATGGAGGTTTACTGTATCCTTCCCAGACTGCACATTTGCAATTTTAAGCGGGTTTTTTGCTTGTTTGTTTTTTCTTTAATCCTTGATGGGATTGAAGAATTTCTCTCCTCTAGAGAAATTACTTCAGAGCTCTTGCACTTGAACCAATATACAGAAATCCAAATGCTCCCCTACTCTTCGTACAACTGTTGCCTCCACATTCCAGCTGTGGAATGCCCCGGACACATCTGGTTTTGTTCTCGCTTCAAAGCCCAAATATCTAAGCTTTAATTTTATTATAAAACGTTACACAATCAGAGCAATCACTGTTTCTCTAAGTGTATTAGCAAACTCAGCTGTGCAAGCTGTGCAGATACTTTGGATGCTCCCTTGAAGGACACGTATGTAATTACAGCAAGTATACTTTCTTATGTTACGTTTTTGTTGTAACATCATATGGATCTTTGACGTTTTAAAAGAAAAAATTCTGTCACAAGATTCAGCCTGCCGCTTTCGGAATTTAAGAAATAAACCATTTACATCTGTACAGCTTGTCTGCATCAAAGGTGTGGGTGCAGGTTCTTGTGATGGAGGACTTTTACTGGACCCAAAGTAAAAGAAACTGTCTCACTGTACCAGAATTTTGGGCTCTGCAGTTGACAAGGGCCAAACGTGAAGACAAGTTACTTCATCTTTTTAAGAGAGTAATGGAATTAGAAGAAGCCTAGGTTCAAATAAAATATTCTTCATCTCCCTAGGAAATGGATTTGGACCAAATTCCGCTGTGTGGTGTGGCTGTCACCAGAGACATCAGAGCGTATCTGAAATTAACTGTATTGTCAAGTCTCTCACACTGCTGACTCGCGGTGAGAAAGCAGCTTTGCCTCACAACACACGGAAATTACTTCTGTGCCTCAGAATAGCAAAACATTTTTCCCACATCATGATGGTTGGTTGTTTCTGTAGACCTCAGAAGAAAGACTTGTGCCTGCTAAATGATGCTTCATAGGTTCTCAGTCTGCACGAGAGAAGTTGTGGGAGCTTTCTTTTTAATTGAAAAGTAGATTAATACCAACCTGGTTCCCAGGCGGCGAGTCCTCAGCCCCATGAACACCGAACGGATCAGTTTTCCAAAGGAAGCAGCGTTCACTGGATCCAGTTTGTGCTCCTGGCAGTGCCGCAGGTAATGGTTGTAGAGAGAGCTCCTGGGAAGGCTGACGCCTTCCGCCGTCTCATAGTTGTCCAACAACCACTGGAGCTTTATGTATGGAAAACATAAACAAATAAAGAAGACATGAAAGTCTAAAGAGGGCTGGAACAGGCTGCATCAAACAGTGTCAACGCTTAAATGTCAGGAGAGCCCATCTGACATTAAGAGCTCAAGAGAACTTAATGCTGGGTAGTTAATTCATATAAGTGGTACTTGTGCCAGCTGCATTTTTAAAAAAGTAAAAAGACCCCAGCCCAAAGTTAAATACCCAACAAAAATGCTGTCAGATTTTGCAAAAGCATTAAACCATAGTCCGCCAGCCATCTCAGTATCCACCTCAGATTTGGATGAACTCCTGCAGAGGCAAAATAAAGCCATGAGGCGCCGTGTCTTCCAAGAATAAAGATGTTAAGATACTGTCTGAGGGGAATAAATTTTAGGGGAACCAAATATGCTGCAAAGTCTTTATTAATTTGAAATCTGCAACTGTTCCCTTAACAACAAAATTAACAGTTACCAAAGCAACCTTAAAAATGTGAGGCGGTCCACCTATTTTTCAAAATTTACTGTCTGAACTTCTTCTGACATTTCTGTTGATTAAAGTTTGCAGTTAGATATAAATTATTTATACCCAGCTGGTCTGAAAGGGCAGGCCCAGCACACAATGTCAGCACAGGAATTAAAATGCAAAAAGACAAAACCCCCAATCTCCTTTAATTGGCTAAATGACTTCAGCATCAATAAAACAAGTGTTATATTAAGTGACTTCTTGAAGGAACTAGATGTACAAATGGACTCAAATCAATAGCTTTGGTAAGAGCCCCTTCATTGTTGTTAGGGCTGTTTGGGATTAAGACTTTCAAGACCTCCCTCTCCGCCCAGACCCCCATCCACAGGAGGCACAGCTCCATCAGAAGCAGCTGCATTCGCACCAGATCAGTGGCAAAACAAACTCAGGTTACGCGTGCCAAAATATCAGCCACATCATCATCTCTTTACAACAAATAGTTCAAGCACATATTGTAATTAAGCACAAACTTGGTCTAGAAATCAGCAGGATTTAACCATGCACATGGATGTACAAGTTGGTCTATGCTTAAGTCCTCTCCACTGGGACTCCAGTATCTGGCTCTCTTCTACCATTTCCTCTTGGTGAAACTTTGGGGTCCCAATTCACCACTATATTACTCGAGTTTTATATCAATAAGTCTGTGAAAATACAACCTGAAATGTGCAGTGACATCTCTGACACCTCGCTCCGTCGAGTTCTTTCCAGTTTATGTATTTCTATTTTCAGTTTATGTATTTCATATCCAACTTTGCTCTCACACAAGCGCTTTTCTGCACCTATGAATGTATGTTCTGTGGTTATCATCCACATAGCCAAATTTAAATGAGCCGAATCCAAAGCTGATACAGTTAAAACTATTTCATTTATGAGCTGGGTTTGATCCGAAGCAACCACAAGTTCAAATGACTGGATCCATCAGTTTTGGTGGCGTTTGGAGCAGAGCAGGGGCTGCCACAGCTGGAAGCAGCAAAACCTCTTGGCCATTCCCCCCTCTGCCCTGCTTTTCACAGAGCTGCTTGTCACCTTCCCACCTTCCTCCAGTTACACATCACCTCAGACACTCTTTGATGTGTTCTGCCACGGATCCTTCTGACCCGCAAACCCTGCAGTCCTAGGAGGTGGTGTCTGCTAACGGTCCGTGTCCCTTCGTGCCGAAGAGACATCCCTGGGAAGCCCCAAAACGCCATTCTGTAGCCCTGAGCCTCCCCCCCCCTGTTAAGCTACCTCTAACAAAAGGGGTTTTGACACAGAAGACCAGCAGGAGCTCAGTTTTTAAGTAGTCCACATCTGTGCTAATTTTGGCCCATTCCCTGCATTTAAAAGATTAATGATTAAGAAGGTTCTTTATTTTTTTTTAACCATTTATTTTATTTCTCCTATGGAAGATACTAAACATGGATCAGCGATTTATTCCCTAAACCTGTTCTAATTCCAAGCCCTGAAAAAAAAATAAAAGTTGCATGTTACTCTGGAAAATTCAGATATAGGTAAAACCCTCTCATTTAAATTTCATCCTGGACATTTTCAGTCTAATCCCAGATATTTCTAGAATATTCCCTTCCAGCTTTCTTTTTCTGCAAGTGTCTTTTTATATTCCTTTAAACATTACAGAGTTTCACAATATGAGCTCCCACTATTGAATTAGAAATCTATTACGAAACACACAAAAGACCTTAAAAAAGAATTATTTTTGCTCTTCCTGCATCAGTAATAACAGACCATCCACGTAAAATGAGAACATTAAGATTCTTTCCATTTGTATCCCTTATTCTGTTTACTTTAAATTTTGCTCAGTTGTGACAATGACAAGACATTCTACAGTTTCATTTCTGTTTATACTACAAACAGGTTCCAATAAAATCATTAAGCAGCCGTACGCTGCTTTGTTTGTTATAGGCACTACAGGGGAACATTTCAATTTCATTTCTACTTTAACTTTATTTCTATTGACTGTTAGTTTTGATTTTTTTAAAAAATCTTTAGCAAAAACCTCGTCCTTGTTCGAGTCACGGTCAACTCTTTAAGGATGGAAAAAGCAATTCATGGGACTCTGAGAAAAGAAAAACCCTTTTTTTTTGTGAAGGTCCAGGTTTGGAGAGGTTTTCTTATGGACACTTCTATGAAAAAGAGACCAATGAAGACAACATTTGTAGTTCATATTTAAGGTGTTTTTATCCGAGACTAAGAGGAGCAGGTTCCTAAGCCCCCGCCCAGTCCAGCTCGGAGTTAGGATGGACCTGGACCACCCGCGTGCCTGCCGAGCACCCTGAGCTCAGCGTCGGGGAGAAACGCTTCCCTCGCACCAGGAGTCCCCCGCTCAGCCCCACCGATCCTTTGCAATTAAAGTTTCATCAAAACCTATACATTTTCTTGAAAAGCCTCTTTTGTAGAACAAGTGCCTGTCACCTCTGGTCCCGTGCATAGTTAAGCCTCGAGCCATCCATGTAGGTGAGCACAAGCTCCAACATCGCCCATCTTTCTCCTCCAAGCAGGAGATTCATCCTTCATTAGGTCGCTACGTTCCTCCAGGAGCAAGGGAGAATTATTCCCTTTAACAGTTTTCCTCCCTCTCTCTTCAGTCACATTTAGGTGTTTCCACCTAAACACCATTTGGGGCTTAATGTTTTTCCTCAGGGGAAAAACTCCATCAGCACCTACCAAAGAGCCATTCACGCACAGGGAAGAAGTCTAACTGTGTGTGTGTGTGTGTGTGTATTTGGGGGGTTTGGGGGGTTTTTTTGTTTTAAGGCAGTGAGGAAAAACTAAATTTTCCCTCTACTCCTATGAGTGCTATGGATATCTAGGAGCCACAGGGCCTCAGGCAGGTTATAGCATCCAACTACTTCCTTAGGTGCGTATAGCTTTAGGCACTCGTGAACAAAAATTGTAGTCATCATTCTCAAATTTCTTTGCATCATCTGCGAGCTCATAATTGCCAAGGAAAAATCCTCTGACCCAGCGACTCTGGAGTACGCTTGTGAGCAGAGCTTTTTCTGTAACAGTAATAGATTGACATGGTTTCATTAGAAACATCATGTGTCACTGGGGTATTAGCATTAGCTTAGGCTTCCAAATTTGATATTTCAAGTGCACTTAAGTAACCTCTCAGAGAGTTTTGGAAGCTAAATTAAGTTATCAAGTGTGACTCCATTTCACATTGACTTTGTTAAAAGAGCATTACGTAAAAAATTCCCTCTTGACTCAGATACCTTTAGTTTTCCTTTTTTGTTTTAAAAAAACCCCAAAGATTCCTGGCATGAAACATCTGCTGACGGCAACAAAATAAAAAATTATCCTAAGAATTGATAGATTTGCAAAATGTGAAATTTAAAACGAGGGACAGAACACAATGAAAATATCTGCAACCTTAAAACTAAAAGCAATTTAGCCACAACTAATAGCGCAGTTGGAATTCTCTCACATTCCTTGGCTACTGCTTTTGTCAAGCTCGTATTTTGCTTTCAGCCTTGACAAATCACCATCACCTGCTGCTTCGCTTTCTGGTTCTCATGCACAAGCCCGACAATACCACACGTCAGTCACACAAGCATTTGGGATAGGTAACCCTCCGTCTGGTTTTTTGTTTTGTTGATTTAACATAAAGAGGTGGGAACCGAAACATCCCGAATAGCAGAAACCCGCGCGACGCAGCACGTGCCGGGAAGAGGCGCAGGGCGGCTCCGCGCCGCGCGCTCGCTGGGCTGTCCCTTACGCTGCGGCTGGGAGGAACAGCCAGGCGGGCCGACACAGGTTGCCCAGAGAGGGGGTAGATGCCCCATCCCTGGAAACATCCCAGGTCAGGCTGGACGGGGCGCTCAGCACCCTGATCTGGGTGAAGGTGTCCCTGCTCACTGCAGGGTGGTGGCACGAGATGGCCTTTAACGGTCCCTTCCCACTCAAACCATTCGATGATGAGCCCCTGATTCCAGCCCAGCCCCCTGCTCAGATCAGGGCTCGCCTCCAAGGGAGGTCCGGACCCCAGCCCAGTCGCACGGCTCATTCAGCCTAGTCCGGAGACCCTGCCGAGGCAGAGGCCGCACAGCCTCCCCGGACAACGGCACCGACCTTCCTCCAGGTCTGGAAAGAGATTGCCTGATGTGGGTCTGCAACGTGCCGCGTTTCCTACAGGCACTGCCCGTACCATCACCTCCTCGTTACTCCCACACGTCTGCAGACATCGCTCCGTGCTCCGGGAAGGCAGAGCAAGGACACTGGAAGTTTTCAGGGCAGCAAGGGCCCCGCAAATTTCCTCAGCTCAGGCTCTGCACCTTGGCAGAGGGAATCTCCCACCCCAGGCCTGGAGCTACCCAGGGCAACACATGGCTTGTGCCTGGACCGACATCTTCAGCAGGGAGGAGCGGAGAGCTGATGTGTACGCACGTGCTCAGGAAGGAGTTGTTTTTTCTACTTGCTTTAGAATTTGTAAGAGAACTTAAGCCTTAAGCCAAACTATGAACTGTGACCTGAGAAGACAGACATTAAGTTCTTTACTTCTACTCTGCAAGACAAGGGTGGGGAGGATCTGATCAGAGGCCGGATCGGGCCCCAACTCCATCCTGCGCAGCCTGCGGTCAGATGAAATCTCTTTTCTATCTTCGGTTCCTTTCCTCCACCCTTTTCCTGCTTTTTTTCAAACCACCTTCATTAGCACACCATGACCCATCCCGTCCTGCTCCGCTCTGTCCCCTTCTGCACTGGGACGAACAAGAAAAATTCTGCAGAGCAACATTATCCTTAGACAAACCTGCGCGGCGCTCGGGGCACAGCGCAGGCGTGTGAGCACGGCCACAGCCTGGGACAGGAAGGATGCACAGAGATGCTCAGAACAGGAACTAGCAGCCAGATTCTGCAGGTTTGTGTTTCCCCAACTACAACAAAGAATGTTCAGAAGCTGAAGTAAGGATTTTGCTCATCAAGGAACCCTGTCTTGGAGTTCAACATCAGCTTAAGAGAATCAAGACTGTTGGGTTTAACGTTCCTTTCATTTTCTCAGGCTATTTCTCTAGGGTGGAGAGGGCAAAGATTTTTTTGCAGGACCTAAGAATGACAACAGATCTACGTCCAACTACAAAGCAAAAGGAAATCTGTTAGAATAAAGAAGTACCATTTTGTGCACTGTGATTTATCAGTGCAGAACATGCTTCAGCCTAATCCAAAACACAATGAAGTCAAGGCAAGTCCAATGACTTCAACAGGACTTGAATTAGACCCTTCAAATCTCACACAAGCATGTGCTCACCGTTAAGCATTACTGCATGGGAGCCATAAACTGTGATGCAGTAGGCCCAGTAGAACAGTTGGGAACTTCACACAAAGCAGGGAAATTGTTGGCATAGTGAGAAGAGAGAGGTCTAGCAAATGGATTTAGCGTAGCATTCTAACAGTAATGGTCTTTCTGAGGCGTAGAAAGAGGCAGTAAAGGCATTTACAGGAGTAGGCTTTTGGTACGCGATATCTAAGGGATATTTGTCATGATTCACGCCAAGTTATTGCTGTAGAATTGCAAGTTATCTTCCAGCCATCTTTCAATTCCAGTGAAAGGAAAGAACTTCCTCAAATGTGTTTATCTAATTGCCAGCAATTTCCATTGCAAGGCAGATGAACTAAATAAACACAGGGTAGAGGCAGTTAACAGAACGCAGAGCATCTCATAAACAAACATTAACATCATGGCACTTTTTGCAGATTCTTGTTTCTTGGGAATGGGCTGCTTTGGGCAGCACAGCTGAATCACAGGCTGCTTTGAGTGGCTCGTGCTGTTGAATACACCAAAGGGCTACAAATAATGCTCCTACCAAAGCAGGAAAAAGGTTGTAAATTCCGATTGTAACTTACATGGCTGTTGAGCAAACTGCTTTTGTGTGATGTAATCCCTTCATTTTTTTGTAGGTTTTCAATCGCCATTTCAAGCTAAAGAAAATGTGCACAGGGAAAAAAAAAAAAAGGAGAAAAGAAAAAGAAAGGAAATCAGATAGTTAGCAACAGCCAGGATTATTATTCCTTTATTAATATTTGAATGATTAATGCTTTATATCCACAGGCTTGTGAAAAAGAGGCAAACAGATGAGGCACAGTCCTTATGGGATGAAGCTGCAGAGACGTTATTGTATGGCATGCAAACTAACAACGCAGCAAGAGTCTCTGGTAGGGTGAAAGAGCGAGACCAGGGGCCTTTTGGTCTTCCACTATATGCACTGCCCATTTATAAAAGAGAAGCAGCTTTCCTTCTCCTTTCGCCTTCATGCCTAGACCAAAACACCACCAGGCAGATACACTGCAGCAGGTCAAAGGAGATTTGCTACAGGGAAGGTGCATTTTACCCACATCTTTCAAGGAAAACGGGAAATAATGACTTCGGTGATTATTACTTCTTAACCTTTTGACAAAAAACTAACGGCAACTAAATAAAACGGGCACAAGGAGGGTTGGCACACAGAATGCCTAAGCTGTAATGGATAAGAGCTCTTTGCTACTGAAGGGAACTGCAAAGGGACTGAAGGAAGAAGACAGGTTTCAATTAAGTGAGCTTCTTCCCACGAAGACAGGCTGGCACATCTTGATGCTACTTGTGCTCATTGCCGTTGACCTCAGAGCTTCTGCAAGGTGGTCCCGGTGAGGCACTGCGGCCCCTGAAGAGCCCCCTCCCTTCCCTCTCTCTATAGCCCAGCTACGGCTGCTGCCTTGTGCCTGGACCCACTCTTGTCTCCTCCTTTCTGCTACTGGGGCTCGCTTGGCAATATTACTTAGCAGACGGCTGCTGGTCCCAGAACTCTCGTGCTCCTGAGCACAAGCTTTTTGCAGCTGAGAAAGGGAAAAAAACCCCAACCCAAACAAAAAAACACACCAAACCCACATTAAGGGACTGGCAGGAGCAGAACCTGCTGTTTCTCCCCAGTAGATGTTCTCAAAACCCTATTACCTATGACCTGTTAGTGCAGGCAGGACAAGGCAGCACACATCAGCCAGTAAAACTTGCAGTCAGCATCCATCTCTAGCATCTGTCCTCATTTAACATGCATGGTCGTGCACTCATCCGTAGGCACATGCACAGTGATCTGCCCATGGCCTCCTTCAGATACTAGTTAGCTCCCTGTACTCCAGTTTTCACTGACTCATAGCATGGTGAGGATAAAAGTAGAGATAAAACCAGCCATTTACAAAGCCAAGCTCTGTCAGAAAGGTGAGAGAACAGAATAAATCATAGCTAACTTCTGAAGTAACATTCAACAACCAAAGACACAGTCTGTGCCATATCCATCTCTGAATGTGATACTCTGGTCCAAGCACCTCCAGACACGTCCCTTGGTTTCCATCCAAAAGTGCTATTGCTGAATTCCAAAAAGGGTCAGTCTAAGACTATGTGTCCGTGGTTTTTTTTGAGAAAACAGTCTAGCACACCGTGATGTACCATGAGGAACCAAAGACTGACTGCTGATGCAGCCTTCAGGAAATGAGTCAGTGTTAGAGGGAGACACCATTTCCTTCCTCTGCTCAAGGAGCAGCACTGTGCCAGTTGAGCAACACCTCTTACGCAAGCACGAAAACACAAGCTTGTCCTTTTGGCATTTTGGTAAGTGACCCATACAAATGGACACCTGACATCTGCAGAAAAAAATATTACAGGGGAAAGACTAAAATAAAAGCTCTTAAAGAGCCCTGTATGAAGGTGAGGAGCTCTGAGGACCCACTTATGGGAGGTCTCAAGGATTTCCTCTCTTGGTATAGCCTAGTTTAAATGAAGATTACTAGTGCTCTAGGGGGACAGACATTGAATGGGACTTCTTCATGTGCTCTTTCAGCCCATTCGATGAAGCAGAACATGATTATTCCAGCAGATATGGAGGATGAGTTCCTGTAAATATTTGACGACTTTAGTGTACATACAGTCTTTACCAAATATCCCTCAACCTCCTGAGGCAGCTCTTGCACAACTGCTAATTCTGAAGTGCTACCTTGTTCCCAGTCTCCTCTGAAGACACCTTCCTTGCTTTCCCCTCCAAGGTCTCGGTGTCGGCTCTGCCTCAGGCATTCAACACCCTCCAAGCCCTCTGGCTTCCCCATTCCCTGCAGCTGCATCTCAGTTGCCAAGCCCCCACATTGCTGGCCACTTTGACATCCATCCCCTTTGCACTACACCCCCAAGGCCACATGCAAACACTATGGCTTCCTTATCTATATCTGCATGAGCTGTACTTTCTCTCCACAACACTCTTAATCCTGCCCCAAATACATTTTGCCAGGACTACAGCCTCTCTTTAACACCAGCCTTTCCTAGTCTCTATTTAAACAAGACATTGCAACGAAAAATAATGTTCCTGCTCATTGATTTGACTTAGTCATTGCTCTCCTTAAGCCTTGAACTATCTGTCCACCCATTATTATGCAAAATTCAAAGCAGTTATCACGGCTCTGCCCTATCCCCGTCCGACTCTGGTCTGTGCTGAAAGAACTGAAAGTCACACATAGACACATCCCTATACCATCTTCCATGCGCTATCTCACCCTCTTGAGCCCCTCCACAAAAGCCACAGACATTTTGTGTTAAAATCCCTTCAGAAATTTCATTCCTACATGCAACAGAGTGAATTTATTTCAGATGCATTTTCATAAAGGTCACTTCCTAATTCTTTTTTTTCCTGAACAGCTTTATCTCATGTGATAGACAGCTACGAACTAAATCTGTTCATGGAACAATTCTATTGACAAATATTCTACTTGGGCTTTTTACATTGTCCCCATCATGATGAAAATCGAAAAAAAAACAAACAAAAAACAAACAAACAAAAAACCCAACCAAGAGTAACGTTGTGCAGCTTTGCAAGATGCAGTCCCAAACAGGTGACAAGATCAGCAGCTATTCCTTCAAAATAACACGCTTGAGCAAAAATCAGAAGACGGTCCAGCACTAGTTTTTAACTATGAACAGTTAAAATACACACACACACTTCTCACACAAGAAATGAACCCCAGCTAATCCAGATGCATCTGTTATTTTCTCTTCCAACCAAAGCTAAAGGTTTTCCCCTACTTCTACCTAAGGCAGAGCACATTTACTCCAGGATCAAAGGCAACCTTTCAAGGCACAAAGATTCAAAACCCATGAAATCTATAGTCTAATACTCAGTGGGAAAAGAAAGTACAAGCCAACCAGCCCGATCTTCAAGAGTAGTCAGTAGCAAATGGCTCCTGTTTTTATCCCTGGGTGGTGCTGTTCACACTTTCAAATCTGGCCACATACACTGAATTACACCTACATTTGTAATTATGCTTACATACAAACGTATAAACACACGTAAGTCAGTCTGGAAAGGAAGGTGAGCAGCGTCCCAGAAAATGAGCTCCAACCCACTCCTGGCAGCAGCTGCCACTAAGGGCTGGCAGGTTCTCAGATACAAGCCCTGGTGGCTTCTAGCTGCGGAAAAAGGCTGGTTTGGGTTAATAGCTGTATCCCCCTGAGCCCCACACAGCTGTACAGCTGTGCTTCTAGCAACCTGGCACCTCGATTGACAGTTGGAGGGACATGATTAAAAAAATCAGAGCTTTAAAACATTTCTGTTTGATCACTATTATCCCTAAAATACATTTCCTGTAACATATGGCATGGATAGAATACACAATGGTGCAGGAGAGGCATACAAAGACGTTTTGATCACTGTGCATATGGCATGATCAGCTTGACATACCTTATGTGCTAATTATCCACTGTGTTAATAATGGATTTTTCAGGTCTCTTCCTAATAAAAAGTGTATTTATATATTTCTTTATTTTGGGTAAGCCAAGCCCTGCGTTCAGATGTTATACTTATTAGAAAATGTAAATATAAACAATTCTTCCGATTTAAAAAGCCAAAACAATTTGCTGGGGGGAAAAAACCAAAACCCCCAAGAATTTTCTCTTATCTCAGTGCTGCATAATTTCAGTGATCCACTCAGAAAGTTTGACAAGCCTCTGCCCACCAGCAAGAGAGACATTCCAAACTCTCGTTGAAAAATATCTGCAGTACACCAGTGTCTATTCTCTCCCTTGCATTTGCATGGCATGTTATACAGACATATACACAGCGATAACGATAGGAAGTTTTATTTTCTGAAGGCTTTTCAGTTCCCTTGGAATAATTCCTGGCCCCCGAGCTGCAACATCTGCAGGGCTACATACCGTTGCTGGAGAGGAGCGTGAAGTATGTGACAGAGAATGTCTAGTGTTTTCCATCCCCCCATGAATGAGATAGGCTCCCGAGCCGGAGAGGATCGGACTTCCCCCAATGTCCATGGTGATGCCCACCATGTTGTGAGAGGGAATGGCTGTAGGAGAGGATGCCGCTGTAGTCACCTGAGCTCCACCTCCCTGCGGTTCGAAATAGGATGCTGCGCTGCTGGGGGCGTAAATCTGAGCTTCGGTGTTGTAGGAGTAGGCAGCTCGTCTGTCAAAGGAACAACAGGGTCAGGAGGGGGAGAGGAGCTTGCGGATCTAATCTCATGGACAAGAGTTTCCGAAATCTGGACCACCTTTCGAAAAAAACTCGACTCCATTGCTGGTGGGATTTACCTTGCAGAAATTGAACCCTGTGCTGTAGGAGTCAGTCCCGACAACGTTAATCAGTCCCACGACAGCCCTGGAGCAAGGGCCCACAGCCACAGCGAGAGCACAGAGCCCCGGAGTCGCTCTGCAGCCGCTGTAGGCAACCTCGGCGCAGAGGGCTGGGAGCATCCCGGAGGGCAGCAGCGGCATCAGGCAGGAGGAAGAGGAAACCTTACAAACGCCCTTTCTTCCTCTAGCAGTTATGCTCCGGTTCCTAAGGCCGCCCCACCTCACTACACAGTGGGCTGGGCAGAGGAAAATACCGGACCCTTTTATGCAGGGGGGAGCCAGATTCCCTGGAGAGCAGCCCCTCCATGAGGTCAACGCTGTCTCCAAGGCCGGACTCTGGCTAAAACTACCCCCGCGCACACAACGTAGCATGCGAAACGGTTCCTCCCCGTCCTCCTTTCAACGGCGGGCAGCGGCGGCAGCAGCGCCGGGGTGGAAGGAGCCTGGGAGGACCGAAGGGCTCAACCCAGCTGGGAGGGGAACAGGGCTCTGCTGCAGCCAACAAGAGAGTCTTACATGGTTCCATTGGTATAAACAGCTTCTCCTCCTTCCACATACTGGACCTGGGATGGATATACGTGCTGCACGGACTGCACCTGAAACAAGCATCATAAACGCGAGTTACGGAGATGCTATTGCCTAGGAACAATGGGAGAAATTGCGTATTACATCCTTAAACAACTTTCAACCTTACCTTGACATTTAGGCTTTCTTTTTAAAATAAAATGAAAATCAAAACAAACAAAAAACCCACATGCTTAGGAATCCCAAAGGACGTATTTATTTTAAAAGGTCAAATTTAAATAAATAAATAAATAGCTGCTCCATGAGCAGTGGAAACAATGGAGCTGGGTTTCCTCTGCACACATGTCCCAGGGCTGGCTCTCCGCTGACTAATAAGGGTGAGATCATGCTGCAGCCTTTCCTTCGGAGAGGAGGTCGGCAGTATCCATCTACACCCCAGCCCCCTTTGTCATTGGTCTGAGAGGGACGTAGTTGCTCTCTGTCAAGTTTTTTTTTTGTGAAACTGAGCAACCAAATAAAAAATTGCTAGAGGAAAAAGTCAAGAGAATCAGACTCACTGTCCACATGAAGCAGCACCACATATGCCTGGTTTCTTAGGAAACAAGGACTGCAAAAGGCAAAGTTCAGATAAATAAAAATACTTGCATGGCTCTCTGTCACCTTAGCTTTCTATGAAGCCACATGCAGTCAGTACATTTATTTGTGTAATTAAAAAAATATCCCAAACACTTTGCCTCTAAAAAAATCTTTACAGAGGAGGACCGCTTTTAAATGGCAATTAAAAAATTAAAAGCATCCATCAAATCTTCAAATGTATGAAAGACAACTGCTACAGTAAAGGTTCTTTCTAAAATTTAAATATCTTGAGAGTTTCTTTCGCCATCAGTCTAAGAAAGGAAGAGAGAGATGGAGAAAGCTGCTCTCACAGTGATCTCCAGTTCTCTAATTGCACACAACTCTAATTAAGACCATGGATTTTTCTAAGCAGCTCTCTGGCACAGTTTCAAATGTCATGTGGGACATGGGGTCCTGTTGTCACGGGGGTCCCTGCGTGGTGTCTCACCCCAGAGATATTACCTGTTGTGGAACCTGCTGAGCTCTGGGAACAGAGATTTGCTGCATCTGCGCTCCTTTGGGAGCGGAGCCTGCTGCTTGGACCAAAACCCTCTGAAAGAAGAAGATATAGTAACATGCACTTACTTTCAGTCTGTAACACAGGTGAGTTAACTTCCATGGAATGCTTGCCACCTGCTCCAGAGGCAGCAGTACCCCTTACTCAGCATCCCTGTGGCCCCATCCTTCCAACACAATCTGCACCGGACACCAGCCTGAACTCAGCACCCTAAACCTGCGAAAAGCCGAGACCTGAATCCACATTTTCTGACATGGACTATCTTTAAGCCCCCACACAAGGAAATAACAGCGAACAGTTGATTGATGGGAGGAGCTCAACCTGAGGTTCAGTCACAGCTAAACAAGAACCACTGCTCACACATTCACATTTTCCTCCTATGGCTGCGAAGTTTCTGCGCTCACGGCTGCTATACCAAACCACGCTCTGCCTCCTGCGGCATGAAATCGCGCTCCCCAAGGCACCACAGCCCTTATGGTTTCTACCAGCACCACAGCTCAGATGGTTCTGCATCTCCCTTCAGTGACACCAAGGGCACAGAAACGCTTTGTGGGGCCCTGCGGAGGTCACTCTGAACACTGTCCTCTACCTCTTCACTGTCATTTCTGTCGTCCCCTTGCTCTTTGTGTTATGCCTGGCATTCAGCTTGAGGTTGGACACGTGCCTCGTAGAGTGCTCAGCACCTTGCAGATTCAGGAAAATAAGTGTGGGGACGTGGTGGATGGAAAGAAACAATTCAGTGAGGCCCATGGGAACAGAGCCTGGGATACCTGCATGACACTAAGAAAGGAAACATTCAAGCCAAAGATCCGTATGGCCTCTTAAACTGATGAGGACCTTCTCCAAGGAGACAGTCAGCCTCTGTGGCTTGGGGCTTTAAAAATAACCAGCAGATTGGGGTAACAGAACAAAAACTGCAAAAAAATCACACAGGAATCCTAGAAGATACCTTGACAATTACTGGCTACCTTATGTTTATGATTTTTAGCCCTCTGACACCCTCCCAACACGCCCTTTCTAACCATCCAGAGATTCTATTCTAGCAGAATTATAGGACTATGACAATTGCCCAGATTTCTAGGCAGCCTCTACACCACCACTCCCTAGGCTGACCTTCAGTAAGTCTGGATGCACTGGAGATCCTGCACCTGAGCTAGCGATAAGGAAACGTACGCTTATGCCAGCCATCACTTTGCCCATTTTGTCTCCAAAAGAGCTTGTAACCAGTGCACGATGGGAACATTTGTCCCTTTTTCAAGTCAGGCCTTGGCAATGCCACCTACATCAAAGTCTCAGCAAGATCCGTGCCTTCCTCCTACTTTTTACCTATTCTCTCTCATTGTTTTTACCAAATGACACATCTCCGTTGGCACAGCTGCCCAGCTCAGCTACTTGTGTAATTTGTCACCGCCTGTCCAGTTGCTCCTAATACCTTCCAACCAAAAAAATTAATCATCCCTGACCTGTAAGATGAGGCCATCCTGTTCATACAGCCTTTGCTCACACTGAAAGGTTGACCAGTGATCAACAACACCAAAGGCTGAAGTCTCACACCAGTCATGCTGCCAGTAGTTCATTCCTAATATTTTCTTTGTGCTGCTGGTGAGAAGGGAAGGTTCTGGATGCTCCTCCTTTTCGGCAGTCTTCCACAGTCCTCTGGGTCTTCCTTAATCCATGGAGTTCCATTCGATACTACGTGTCATGACGAGAGCACCAGCAAAGGCTGGACAGGTAATTTCATAATCCAAAACCGATGGGTTTTCTAAACTTCTTTAACATGTTGTCACAGTCAAATTCACACTAATGACTGATGATGCCTGAGATACTTGACACTATTGATCAGCGGTATCCACATCATTACAATACGAACAAGAAACGTCACCCTGAGAAATCGAAGATGAGAAGGCTGAGAGATGACAGAGCGCTGGCCAAACACACACCAAATCACACGATGTAAATGTCCAAGTCTCCTGGTGAATCGAATGCTCCTACCACAATTTTTAATTGTTCCTTTTCATCAGCATCCAAAGGCAGCTACTTCTTCTTATCTGGGAGTTGGAGAAGGGTGTAGCTAAGTTACACCCACCCATCCTCTTATCCCTCCGGCTTCCTGAGACAGAAACTTCTTTTGATAGTTCCCCAAATGGCATAAAAAGGAACCAGTTGAACTTAACCCTTCCCACTTCGTGTTAGGCAGCTTTCATTCATCAGCTGAAGCTGTCATTTCTCTCGTACAGGAGACCTCCCAAGTGCATCACACTAACCTGTATGAATCATTAATCCCACCCCCCCAATTTAAAATGTCAGGATCCACCTACCAAAGGAAGAGAGCAGCATGTGGCTCCTTCACCCGCTCCCCATACTAGCACTCTCCCCATCTCTTCTCGGTTGAGCTTGGTACCCTATTTGCAGAGATGCCTTTAAGTTTCATTTTCTCCTGCTTTTATTGACATGCTAAAAAATGACAACAGGATATTATACTGAAGCAAACACCAAACTAGCATGAAATTACTTCCTTGGGTAGCTAAGTTAAAATATAAATCTTAAAATCTAAATCTCTTGTTTTAAAGCTTGCATATTTGTAGGACTAACGTGTGAAATGTCTACGGCCTTCACCGACACAAAGTCCAGCAACAGGTTCTCCCCGCTACCTCAGCGAGCTGATTAATGATCCCCTCCCTCATATAAAACCCCTGGATTAAAATACATATGCCAGTAAAACAGGTCTCTTCTCCATGGAAACGGCATGCCCAGCTGTGCGTACGTTACCTGCTGAGACGCTGGCACTGGCTGCACCACCGGCGCCTGGGCTGATGCAGAAGTGTGAAGTGCCACAGAAGCTGCTGAGTCTGATCCACCCTCTGAACTCTGCATGCTCACTGCTGGGGAGAGCAGAGGGGAGATCAGCCAGGGAGAGCACAGCTACACACCGCAGCAAACCGACAACCCCAGGAGCAAAATCCCAGTGGAAGATCCAGGGGAAGTGCTAGGAAGGAAGGTAGTTACCTTCCTACACAGAGGACTCTTTTTAGTCTTGGAGCTAATTTTAATACAGTATTATATTAAGAAAAAAAGAAAGTTGCACAATTGTTCCACAGAAAGGAGAGGGAAGGAACAGAAAATGCACTTCTAAATATAACTGAAAAGTAGCGTTGGAAAATTATTGTCATAGTGAGGATAACTGCAGATCTGGAAGAGTAAGAGCATATTTTAAAAATAATTTTTTTCCCCCTCTGCCTTATCATGTTTAACTACTGCAAAAAAATTTTTAATCAAATCTAAGCACATGCCTGGAGCTTAGCTGACGCTTTCGTTTGGAAAGCGGGGTGGTCAGTTCGGGTTTAGAATCACAACCGATACTCAAACATGAATAGCAGAAGAACAGTGATTCACCATCACCTTAAAAAACCCCCAAGCC